GACAATTATACACACGGTCATCTTTCTCTTGCATATAATTGAGAGATCATAGTTCTTTTCCTTATCTCATGCGTCAAGACGGATTCTTTATTTCTAATACATAACGCGACATCGTGTGTCATTCTTTGATAAATAAAGGGCACCAATGCTCTTTGCTGCATGCAACGGATCAGCAAAAGCCTAAGTTTTTAAATATCTCAGAGAACATTATGTTCTAAAGATGTCGTACTGTCTTAAAAACGCTTTATCTCCATTTCTATTAAATCATTTACTTTTTATCTCCTTTTAGTTATAAAAATTAGAAGTTAGAAAAAAATAAAATAATTAGAAATAAATAGAAATCGAGATTAAAGTTAATCTATATTAGTTCAAATAGATATTAAACATGCTTTTAAAAGATATATTTTAGATAAGCATGTTATTTGGATGCTGTAACATTTATCACAGAAAAAGAGAGAGAAAGGAGAAATGCTTAATCAGTGCAAGGAAGATTAGATTAAGAGATTAAGAGACCAAGGACTTTTGGAAGGACTCTTTGGAGAAAATACAAGCGTGACTTAAACTGTCTCAAGGTTTCTCCGACCCAAGGTTTTTGTGATACTTTGGTATCTCACTTTGGTATCACATATAATGCTTACCTATAAGTATCTATAAATAAGTTAAGCTTATTTCATCATATCATAATTTTTTGTTACATATATAATATGCTACCAAAATTAAAATGCCAAAATGAGACCAACCAATATATAATATAAACCAAAATGAAATGACATTTGGTTTGTGCATGTCCTCAAGAAAATTAAAAAAAAAACAATATCATAACAATATAATAATTGTTTCATCATGTTGATGCATTCAACAAAGCAACTCTTTATTATGATTAGTTTCTACACTTAAATTCAAATAAGAACCAATCAAATTAAGAATCATAACTCTGTTTTGTTTGTTGAATGCAGTCATATTATTAATTGCAAAGCAAATCGCATTATAATGTAATTTACTGTAATTTAATGTAATTTAATTTAATTTAATTTTCAAGTAGATAATTTTTAATCGATAATTTTTAATCGATAATCACAAGTCTAATACACAATCCGATACACCGGTTCTTTCTACTTCGCAGTTACTGCAGTTTGCCCTTCGCTCTTCGTAAGCAAAAAGATGTCTGGCGATAGAAATATAAATATTAAAAATATAAAATTATGTAAAATTATGTGGCAGTTTGTATTTTAATATATATCTCGCGATACTGATTCACAATTAATCACGTTGGTGCCTGTTCATGAAAGTTTAAACTCCTTTTTTATAAATAAATGTATAACAACAGGAGCGATATAATATGCAAAACAGATAGATATTATATTTCATAGAATCATGACGCATACGATTTAATTTCTTCTTCCGTAATGTGCAAGATATTTTTTTAAGCTTACGTTTGGCTGACCTATCTGTTCAACGAGTATTATTCATCATTCATTATTTATCGTTTGTCATCGTTGTCAGACTATCACCCCGATCTAGTGATGACTCTTTGGGAAAGCTTTCGATTTTCAATATTCTCCCAGAATATCGAATCTTCCAAATTATGTACGAATGTCTTGATGTTTCCTGTAGTTAAGGAAAAAAGGCTCTATCCGTTTTTGTTCGTTTGCATTTTTTATATTCGATCTCTTTTTTTCTCATCTCTTTTTTTCTAGGCTGTGAAAACTGTTTCGTTTTAACCGCAAAAAGTATGCAATACGAAGTGCATACTGCCGGATCAGACAGTTATGATCGCTGTGCAGCCAAACGAAAACGCTTCGCGGACTTCGTTCTCCTCGCGGTTGCGCGGTGTTGCGTTTTTTTCCGATTCGATGCGGGCCAGGATCTCAGACAGAGAAAAGACGAGGAAGAGCTGAGACCACGTCACTTTTATAGAGTATGCGCAGTGGAAAGTAGGCGGCTAAACTCGGGGAAGGCCTTCTAAACTCGGAGCCTCGCAAATAGACATCAAATGTAAAATGTTAGCATGTACAAACAATAGCGCGTTCTCCGTGCGGCGGCGGTGGCGGCGACGGCCGGGAAATCGAGCGGCGTACCCTTCCCTCTCGTTGCGTGCGCTATTGCGTTATTGCGCACCCGGTGACAGGGAAGAAGGGTGTGGGTAAGGAAGGAGGAAACGGTCTCCCGCACTTCCGCACACTCACCGATGGAATATCCGGTCGGAGTTGAAGTGAAAGTCGAGCAACAACTCCTTGCAGCGCTTCCACGTGACAGCGAACGTCATCCCTCGGTGATGCTCATCGTCATCATCGGCTATGGACGGGGTAATCGTCGTCGTCGTCAGCGTCGGCGTCGGCGTCGAAGTCGTCGTTGTCGTTGTCGTCGTCGTCGTCATCGGCCGACCGTCGATACGCATCTCCATTTCGACGGTGCTCGCTGCCGCGTGTTCGATTGTTGACTGGCGCTCCCGCGGCTGCCTTTGTTGCCTGACCGACTGACTGACCGTCAGTGAGCCGAGCGAGTGAGCCGAGCGAGTGATCCGAGCGAGCGAGCGAGCGAGCGAACGAGCGTGCATGCGCGCGCGAGCGAATTCGTGACGTTCGCGGTGCAGCGCCGAATCCGCCGCGTCTCCGTCGCAATCGCGGAGCGGAGATATGCACGTGTGATATGCAGATGCGCGCGCGTAGCCGACGGTGCGTCGTCGAGATGGTCGTGGCCACCGACCGTCGACCGTCGACACCACCCTGCCTCGCATCCCGCGAGACGATGCCGTGGCGTGAGAACGGCCATGGCGGAGCGACCGCCACTCTGTAATTTCGCCATCCTTTATCGCTCTCCTTTCTTCTCCCTCGAGTATCGCTGATGAAACACGGACCGTCTCCCGACCTGGTCACGGAAGTCATTACGTAAATTGAAAATTCGGAGGAATGCTCGTTTCGTTTTTCAGCTTCCACCACGGTGATACCTTCCTTGCCTAGCTTCCGAAACGAGAGAAAATTCCAGTTGAAATTGAGTTCCAATGATGAATAAATAATATTGCACATGCAAATTGCACTCTACGATTGTAAAAACAGAAACAAGTTCCACTTCCTCCAAGTTTTGATGATGAATAATATTATTATGACGCACATGTTATAATTACAAAAAAAAAAAAAACAAAATTCTATTTCAGCTTCTGATGATAAATAATGATACTGCAAATCGTGGCGGATATGTTTGCAAAATAAACTTCGAGTTGTGCTATTATTAAAATACTGTTGAATTAATTCTTTCCGGTTGTATAAAATAACTTTACCAGGAATATCCCGGGTTTGGGCCGGAAAGAGTTAAATCGAACTAGATCATGTTTTCTCGATCGAGATAACTTTCATGATCGGCGAAATCGCATTATACACTATCGCTTCATCGTACACATAGTTTGACATTTGATATTTGATATTAGTTGTCAAGTACACGTTATCAGATTTGTAAAATAACCGATGTCCGATCCCCTATTTATACGTCTGTACCTGACTGACGTGTCGGTTTACCTCGCGCTTGAATAATGCGAAAAATGCAATCGAGAGACAAAGGACGAGACAAAACGCGAGATAACACGATAACTCTGTTTGAGATTGTTTATGCGTGACGTTTATCAGTAATGAAGGTAACGTGAGATGAAGTAACAGTATCGCGGAATATCAACGCTTATCGGAAATTCGCGTTCGGCCGTCGTCTAACAGTGGCGTTCGGTGCACGCATACCGAAACGCAGTGCACGTGCACCGAGCGCTGCACGCTAATGAGCGTGCTTGCTTCCGAACGGGCGGGGAGAACGGGTAGCTATTGGCACAGGTGCACGGACCGGACGGGAAGTATATAGAACGTTTATTATAGCCTTAATACGAGCCCCGAAAGCGCAACACCAAATGCAGATTGGCAAGGTGTGTGTGTGTGTGCGCGCGCGCGCGTGTGTGTGTTAACGCAATAATAAAGAGCATTGATTGACAGAGAGTGGGAAAAAAACGATGTTTTTTCAAAGCCAGCAAATATTTACATTAGATATAAGTTGAAATAAGACAAGACAGTTACATATCGTTGGTTCCTCGTGATGTAACAATTGAGTCCAATATTACGCGAATGAAGCGGAATATGTTCAAATTTGTCGTCAGTTTGCCGTAACACAATGACGTGTTGGTCACACGGAAAATTCTCATTATCGTTATGTAACAACCACATAACAGTGACAAAATGTTTATTAAAGTATTATATAATAAAGAACTTGGCACTATGACATCACAAATATGTAATTGTATACATATATTCACGGAAGAAAAAACTGTTTGAGATTGTTAAAATACTATTCGCATTAATATTAATAATGGAATAACTGCTGATTGCAACTTTAATAATTCATTGAATTGGTGTGAAATATTTCAAATATGGATTTTTTTTCATATGGAATTTTTTTCATAATGTTGAGGCTACATTTTTCTAGCATTAAATTTGAGACATTTTGTTCAATTTCGATTTTAATCATTTTATGTACAATGCACCTTATATTATATATAATATATGTACCTTATATTATATATAATGAGTGAAAAAAAAACAGATATATTATCGCAAGATAATTTATTCCGCAGTTGATCCAAAATAATTATCGTAAATAATTTCGAGTTATTAAGATGGATGGAATAAAAGAAAATTTAACGGATAATTTATGAAATTACATTAAATGTCAGTGATGATATTTTTAAAGAACACACAATTTCAAAATCTGATATAACTGTCGCAAAACATAATATATCTTCAAAGATGTAAACTTATAAAGTTTACATCTTTATCCGATTCCTTCAACCTAGATTAATTTTAATCTTGGCTCAATTTGCTCTTCATCTTTTTCTAGTTCTAAGAATTCGAAAAAGATGAAGAGCAAATTAAACCGAGATTAAAGTAAATCTACGTTAAGTAAATCTACGTTGGAATTGAGCGATTAATTATTGTTCTGTGATATAAATCATATGTTGTATTTATTACATCTCATTTATATAATGAAATAATGCATGTAGCGTAGTTATATATATCGTTTATAGAATAATGTTATGCAACAATGTAACAATAATATATAATGAAAACGTCATTACTTTATCAAAATGTCATTTGCATCACATTTGTATCACAAAGCCATTTCGTTGTTATACAAATATTTATATAGTGATCAGAAAATGATGTAACTGTTTGACGTGTTTGCTATGAAGTCCTCCAAGTTTTTTCCTTTTTCAATCGAGTTTTTTTCTTTTTCAATCGAGTTTTTATTATCGGCTTTTTACTTCATCGCGTTTTTTAAACTGAAAAAAATTTGATCAGATTTCCAAAGAAACGTGTCCTTTGCGTTCTTCATCGATACCTCGATGGTTTTGCCGTATTTTAATGTAATTGTGATGTATCAAAAGTTATAAATAGTATAATTCTGGCGTATATTCCCGTTGGGAATATTGCGCATCATAAATTCATGTCACGCAGAATAAGTGTCGGACTGAGTACACGCGCACCGAAACTATCACGATAATTTCTACGAGAATTGTTTACGATACGAAGAGCCATTACGTATCCTTTTTTGCGCTTTTTGATTAGATTCTGTAATTGAGACTGAATAAACAGTTTGGATGCGAAGATGAAGAGAGTAAAGTTCACATAAATAAATTTTAAAATAGAAATCATGTCCAATTTGTAAAAACTCATGTATTGTGAATTGAAATGTTACATGTACAAGTAATCTTTAATCACGTATTTTTACGTAACTTTGAAATAATAATTTATGAAAATATGTTCTTTTTAATAAGTTATTCGAAAAAAAATTAGTTGATCATAAGACTATTTTTTGATCGCTTTTTTTATACTGCGATGTGATTTCCGCTTATTTTTCCAAAAAAGTTCAACAAATATCTACTTATTAATTCTTAATCCTATCAGCATAATACTAGTGAAAATGACATTTCGAGTTATAGTAGAATAGAAAATATTGCGACATTGTATACTAATAAAAGATTTTTTTCGTGATATATTAACAAGTACGTACATGCATGAGATAACGTGCATGAATATAGCGATTTGACTGTTATTTTTATGAATTTACGACACTTTTCTTTAGAAGCTTTTCCTCCATATCTCGTATATAATAGGAGATATATACTCGATGTTACTGCCAGCATTTATTGTATATTAATTATTTTTAAAATAAGATATAATCGAGAGCCATATATTATTCTGCGCATTCTGTTATTATAATCTAGTACATTTGTATCTCCTTTACAACGGAGAACTCTTGATTTTGAGAGCATTTTTTCTTTCATTTTTATATTATTTTATTTCCCGATATTCATCGTTAGGTTTTCACTTCAACGTATCTTCAATTTTCACCGATACAAAAACAAAAGTGTACTGTATCTTTTACTGTATCTTTTCTAATCGTGAAAAAAATGCGAGAAAGTAGTTGATATCGGCAGAAATTATCGCTGGAAAGTTCGCGACTCTGCTATCGGTCTCTTGCACTTTGATAAGTCACTCGGATAAGCCGGGGAAGCCGCGCGACAGCGTGACGTAACATAGCACCTACGATGCATCCGCGTGCGAGTGCATCGATGCATCCGTGATGCACCGGCGATTAATCATCACCGGCGATACTTCCGCGCCAAGGTTCTCTTCGCGAAGAATGAAGGACGCATTTCTTACACTTTCCCTCGCGATCGATGAGAGTCGATTCTGCGATAGATCCGAACTCCGTGTCGCGTCAGAAATTTCAGACAAAAAATTTACTTTCGATTTAACAGAATTACTTTTCGGGAGAAAACTTCGGGTCTACATTAGATTTAAATTCAACTGTAAGATTTGGCATTAAAATTACAATTTCCCTTATACAGAAATACAATTTAATACTGGCCAATATAATACTGGAAATTACTTATTTTGAGTATCAAAATATTACTGTTCAGTATGGTTAATATTCAAAATAAGTAATTATCTTCCAATAATAAATTTCTATAAAGATTATCGAAATTTAATTCTAATTACATATCCGTGTACTAATTACGTATCCGTTATTTATTGCGGAAGTTTCGCGATATGGATATGAATGGATATGGAGAATGCAATGGAATGACACATGTGGACAGTTCAAGACTTTACGTGAATTCGATTACAATTACAAATTACATACGATGATAAAACACGATAAAAGCACGCGCCGAGATCACAATTCGCTTTTTTTAGATAGACGAAAATATTTACATATTTATGGAGAGGCGGCGGTCGGAGTCGTATATAAATGAATGGAGGGTCATGAACCTGAATCTTCAAGCTTTTATTTTGTAACCAGACGATTTTCTCTGCGGTTCTGTGTACCACAGAACCACAGTATATAGTTTTATGATGCGCATGTTATCGTTCAAGTACGACCGTACGAGTTTTACCTCGAAACGATAAGCGGGAAAATTAAAGTCAGGGTCACGCGAGTATATTTAACGATGCTGAATGGTAGATTAAAATAAATTCCGCCGTTTGATGCATGACGTCGAGGTGTGCAACGTGGCTGGCCTCTTGAAAATCTCATCGGGTTCAAAATGTGGACGATCGCATTTTGGTCCATGCGTCAAGGCTGCGCGCCGATGAACACATCGCGGGATTAACGAACGGTAATTCCAACGGTTTGTTTCTGTTACCTTTCGATACTTGTCGGGCTGGCTTTCAAACGCGCCTTGACCCGCTTACACTTAATCAATCATCCTAGATTGCACCCTTGCAGGGAATAATTCCACGTGTCTCGCGTGCTGCCCAGCCCTCGGGCGAGGGAACAGGACGAGGTTTCGAGTTCTTATCACAGTGCACACTATGTGCACTATGAAAGTCATTCTGCAGACTGCTTATCTAATGCATGATACTCGCTGCGCGCGCGTGCGGAAAAGAGAGAGAGAGAGAGAGAGAAGAAGAGAGAGAGAGAGAGAGAGAGAGA